AAATTTGGCAGCTCTAGCTTAATTTTGTGTGTTCAATGAACTTGTTAAAATGACTGATAAACTGGGAAAGGACAAAAGTATACCTCTATTGGGGGTCTTTTAATGCATTATTGTCTTTTTGTGAACAAAGCACAGAAACAGAATTTTTCACAGCAAGTTAGGGCTGGCTCTTTTGAGATTTACAGAACTGTATCTGTAGTTTCTGTCTGAGAGGGTAAGAATTTTCCATTCTGTGCTTTTCTCTGTGCCTGGTCCAAGTATCACCTGTGACCCATGGTGGTTTCAAAACTTTTTCTCTTTCCTTACAGTGTCTGAATGGGCACAGACTTCTTTCCAGTTAACATACAACAGTCTCTTGTGCTGACTACTGAACTCTGATCTTTGGCTGGATTCACGTTTGTTTCTTTAAGCACATGTGGTGCAGAGTAGACCTGGAGTTGGGTAATTCATAAGAGCTGGCTATTATTATTATTATTACTACTACTTGAAAGGGTCTGTATTATTTTGCACAGCAGTGTGGTCACCTGGCAGCAGGTCATTAGCATTTTAGGTTTCTTTCCTTCACAACAATGCACAACATGCTAATTAGAGGGTTTTGAAAGCTAAGCAACCTGTTTTAAAATCAGACATTTTAATTTGCAGCTTTAATGGCTGTATTATAATAACTGGCTTGGCTCGGGGGAGAGGGGGAGAGAAGCACTTCTCATGTTCCAGTAGCAAGGCCCAATATAACAGAGGCTGACAAAATTAAAAACCTCATAATGTGACCTTTGCCTGGGATAAAAGGCTGTTTCATAACAATTTCCTTTTGTTCTTTGTTTAAGCCATTACTCCAAAAGGAGCCTCCGATTAATCTAAGTAAATGCATCATTACAGTCCTAATCCATGTCCTTCTGTCAGTGTCTGTTTTAATTAAATAAGAAACACTAGCAGAAAGATATCACGCACAAAGCTGTGATTGGAGAAAGAGAGTTGTTTGATCAGGGTGAGATTAAAAAAAGCTTTACTGTTTTGTCCTTTTGCTGTAGATGCCATAATGTAGGTTAAAGGAAGAAAACTTGCCTAATAGTTTAGCACATTGTTCCCCATTACAGCATTAAAATAACCAGATTTACCAATGAAAGTGCCCCAGACATCCAATTAATTATATACAGAACGTTCACAGACAAATAGTATGACAACTTGGTTTGAGTAATTTGACACATTAATGTGTTTCAGACTGTATACACAGTTGGCCAGAAATTGTATTCAAGTGGCAGGTTTTTTATATTAAATAAAGCACTGAGTAAAACTATTGATGAATTTAGTTAATTTCTTTCTTTTGGTACTTGTGGCTCACAAATTGTAAACATGATCTATTTCAAGCCTCTGTTTTTTTAAAAATATTTTTTTTCTCACAAAATCAGGGTAATTATTTTAAAGTGGTGAAGAATCCATTTAATAAATGTTGTAACATCTAGCTAGTTAATAGTGCTAAAGCAATACATATGTAAGAGACTCTTCCTCAAGGTAGTGTTTCAAGATCCCTGTGGTGAGGGTTTTCTCCCATATCCAGGCCATTATTTGATGTAATGAAAAGAGAAAGTGTGCAACACAGAGATTGTTAATTAATTTAGCCTAACAAGATGAAGATAAATGAAGCAAAGCATGGACTGAATGAAGCAAGAGGTCTTATTTACAATTTAATACTTTTTTATATTAGGCATTTTTCAATTTACAAAAGAAAAGAACCTGAGTTTAAAGAAAATGTGCTCTGTGAGTACATGCGAGACAACTTTATATTATGCAAGCAGTTCTAAGGACTGCTGAAAATACCTTTTGGGTTAACCTTTAACTTTAAGTTTTCTTCCCCTTTTTTCTTCCTTTTCACATTTTTTTTCCTCATTTTGATTTACAATATGTTGATAAGAATAAGAAAAAATTAAAACCTGAACTTTTTCCTGTTGAAATAGGTAGCAAAGTACCAATGGTACTCTTGCAAACACAAATTCTGTTGTTTCTGATTATTTATATTAACCTAGAGTCATAGCCTGGTTTTGAGCAACTTCTAAGTGGAAAGGTGCATTAAAAGATGTAAATATAAAAAATACATTAAGACATGATTTTACTTTCTGTTCCAAAGTGTAAATCTGTTATTGCTTACATGTTTTCAGCTATTCTATTGCAGTTAAAGCTAGGGCAGGAATCCAGGATAGTGTTATTTAACAATGATTTGATGTAATAGAATTATGATTTTTTTGATTTGCGAGAATTTTTTTCAATATCACGTTTATCTTAAACATTTTGTGAAAAGCTGTAGACTTTAATTTCTTACAAATTAAAAAATCCCAAGTTTAGAAGACATTCCAGAGATCTCTTCCTCCCAGTCTCAATTTTAAATAAAGAATATCCAAAACTAACAGTAAGTTACAATTTGATCAGTTGAGTAACTACCTCTCAAGGTATATTGTTCAGTTTCTCAACTACAAAGTTTAGGGTATAATTCTACAGAAGAGGTGAAGAAAAAATAAGTTCTGTCATTTTTAATATCTAACCAACAAACCAACAAAAAAAGTCCTGTGCTGTGACTGATTTAGGCATACCTTTATCAGTTTAATCTAATCCCAGAAGTCTAAATGATGACCAAAAATAGTAGGTGGTTCTTTTTTTTTTTTTTTTTAATAAAACATCTTCCTTCTTACAGATGAATTGGGTCTGTCCACTATTTGACCTTCTGTCATGATTTCTGTCTGGAAAGGGAAATGCCTTCCTTTCTTTTCTAGTAGACAGACAGGACAGCGTTATCTAGTGTCACTACAAGCAGTGGTCTCTACAAATAGCATTATTATGGTCCCTATGTTTTTATCTTGGGGGTCATGAACAAATCCATGCAACTGCTTCTAAAGATTTCAATAAATAGGACTTTTTATCCAGACAATTGCCTTTTATATTACTTTTAAACAAAACTACTAGTCCATCAAGAGTTTCAAAAGGAAAACAATTCTACAGAGTGCTGGTATGGCAGCACAGACCAATCATTATGGCACCCATTCTCCAGTCCTTTATTTTTCAAGTCCACAACAATAGGTTGTTGATTCAATGGACAAGACCAGAACAATTAAGTTCTCTGTTTAGCAGCAGTGCAGCATTTTAATGCCCTCCTCTAATAATGGTCTCATTATTGTTATTCTAAGACTGGGCCTCAGGAGGAGGAATATTTGCTGGAGGTACGTCATTATTTTGCAAATTTCGATTAGCTCATCATGTTGTCTGTACTGTGAAAATCGTAGCTAATTAGGGCAGTCAGTTAGACTACCAGCTTTTGAGCTTATGAGTTAAAAGGTAGCACACTTGATAGGCCAATGATGTGAAAAAAGTGGTAAAAAGGGGGATTAGAGCTGTTGCCTTAGTAACTCTAACTTCCATCTGTGCGGGAACAATGGACCTGTGTTTCTCCTCCACCTTGGTGTAAAAATTGGTTTTGTTTCGAAAGGACGGGGCTTTTTATGACAATCTGGAATTCAGCCTAACGGGGTGTAGTTTTAGTTGTTAGGAGAGACCATTGGAGGATAGGAAAGATGAAAGGTCATGGCGAGCTCCAAGGACATGAAAGGTCATTGTCTCTTGTAACAATAGTGGATTGTTTTGTCCCATTATTTCCAGCCAACCACTCAGTCAGGTGATAGAAGAGATACCACCAGTTTAGTCAGGTGGAACAGGAGAGAAAGATAATGCACCTTCTAAAGAACAAAAGATAACTATAATTTGCCTCTATTAAACAAAGTTGCACTTATTTGTGACCATCCTCTGAAAAAGGGTTGTTTACTGACTTACTATTTCAGCCTGCTTTGTTCAGCACTGCCTCTGTAGGCCATCACATCTCTGGGAAGCAATCCAATGTGTTAGAAAATGTTGTTTAAGCTTTCTTCCCATGAAGAGGAGCCCCCAGGAGTACCACTGATGTGATACTTAACAATAAATTTAGTTGTTGTAGCTTTCTCACATTATTGGTGTTCTTAAAAGGTTTTCCTTCAAACACACACAGAATAAAATTAACTATAAATATGAAATAAATTTGCTTCAACACTTTATAGCATTTTACCATAAATTCTACAGCACGTATTATAGAAAGTTTACAGCAAACTGTGTCAGGTGCTACAGAAGAGAGAGAGCAGAGACCTACAGTTGCATAAAAATAGATTTGCTATAAGACTACTCTTACATAAAGGGAAATAGACCAAATCTCTTCTGTGCTATGCAGCAACTTTTGGAGACTCTGTGCCCTTGTCTAAGGAAAAAACCCCAAAGTACTGCAGTATTATTTAATAAAACCGCTATAGAACAATTTACCGGGAAAGTGAATAGAACTGTCATCTCTTATATTTTTCCTAAAGCACCCAAACCCCTAAGTCATTGTGTTCCAGGCGCGGGGGGGGGGGGGGGGGGGGGGAGGGGGAGGGGGGGGGAAGCCTTTCTCATGATTTCTCAATTTTTTGCAATATTATGCCTCAGTCATCCACGCAACAAGTTGACTTTTTTCTTCCTCTTTCCTCTGTCCACAATCAAAGCACATCCCAAGGTCCATCTTATATCCCCCAAAGAGTAGTTTCTTTAGGTCAGGTTTTCCAGCATGTTTCATCCTCCTATACTAGATTTCTAACCCCCTTTAAAGGGTTAGTTTTATAATCTTTTAAACTCATTTCACAACATAGCTTCCAAAATGTATTGAATTCTTATGAAACTGATAAAATGTATGTAATTTGCTACTATTACATTTGAAAAATGAAATTACATATAATTGTTAGGTATCCCATCTTAAACTGTTCTGACCTTATTTGAACTCCCCTTTTTAGCTATTCTGGGCCTCTCTTATCTCATTTTTACTCCTGGCCACTCTTGCTCTTGCTTTCTGACAACACAGATGGACGGCCTTGCACAAACTGATAACTGTGGTAATTTCTCAGCACACTGTTCAATAATAAAAAAATGTTATTTTCAGAATTCAGTAGGCATGTGTCATATTTACACATACACTGAAGATGAGAGGTTGAGCAGCAGCTTCATGGGAGTGTGCTGTTGTATGAGCCACTGGACTTTACAGCTTTCAGTTTGCTGATGCATTGGTTTACTGGCTCTTAGGTTTAGTAAGTAGTCTTTAAGAAAAAGAAAGTCTTCTTTTACTTATTTATAAGCTTATAGTTTTTAAAGATAATATATTCTTAAACCTTCTCTTTAGCTCACTATTTAATTGTCATGGATGTACTGTCATGTTTTGTTATTTTTGTATTCAAATGAACTGAACTGTAGGCTGCTTATTTCAAAATGGGAGCCCTGCAAAGGGTTAACCAGCAGAGAATTACAAATGAACTATCAGGAAAGTTGATTATTAATCCAGCAAGAGAGAAAATATCCTTCCAGTTAGCAAGAATTAGTACCTGAAGAGCTGATAATATTGTTCAGGCTGTCGGTGTGGAATGGCAAAGCCAGGTAAGCTAGACATCTGCTCAAAGGAATAAAGTATTTTCTTTCTGTTTTTCTTTATAAGAGAGTTCAGTTTTAAAAAGAATCTTTGTTGATTTTCTTAAACTATCAGCATATGAAACAATGTATGTTGGTCCTCAGTTTCCTCAAATGAATGAAAGAAATTTAAATTGTGCTGTAACTTTGGTAAGAAGATACATTTCTAAGCTTTGCAAGGTATGTAACTGTGAAATACTGTAACAATTCTTTACTGGTTTGTGGTTAAGTGTGAGAACTGATTACAAAACCTGAAGAGTCCTTCGCAATGGCAAGCTAATATATTACGTAAGTCTGTCTTTAGTTGTGCTTAACCGTATTATGGAGGTTTATGGAAACTTTTATGTTGCAGAGCTCTTTCATTCAGAGTTATTAGCCTTCAGTTTTCACACTGTGTCAACGATTTATTCAAGTTTGTTTTGATATCGTGAACACATTGGTATTCATTAAAAAACTTTTTTTTTTTTTTTTTTTTGGTGGGGTTTCAAAAATCTATGATCTGGGGTTAGAAGGAAATGGATGTTTGGTAAACATACCACTGTGTTTATAGAGAGAAATGCAAACCAAACCATTAGATCAGTTGAACATAATCTTATTACAATTTTTGTACTTTCCTAGAGACTCAAAGCTTTGTCTTGGGAAAAATTTGAATTTGTTATATTTGTGATGCTGATACTAACCAACAAGTATAACAAACATTTTTTTTTTTCAATGTAGTCTTCACTATTATAGTTTATTATGTGAGAGATGTGTAAAATCTTTTAAGTAATGGTCTAATAATGTAGAAATTAGTAAGTCTGTATACAGTATTTAACAACTTTTCCTAAATTGTGTGCTTTCCTTAAACAAGTAGCATTTAAAAAATTCCTGATTTGCTTGTAGAATGGAATTCAATATGCATGTGATGTTACTACAACATCTGTCTTGGCAGAAAAGAGTTTACCATCTCCAGATTTTAGCCTATATCTATGAAATAGCCTGGAAGCTACACGAAAAGGATTGCAGTGATACAAGAATGAAAAGAAAATGCAGATAAAAACTGAAAGTAACCCAAATCTGAAGGCTGAGCCCCTGTAGAAATTTAGTTCTATGTGGTAACCTTTCATGAGCTATACAGAAAGGAAAAAACCTTTTGATTTTAAGAATGAGATTAAGATATGGCCTAGGGTGAAGGAGAAATAGAAAGAAGGCAAGAACAGGCAGTGAGGAAAGTGAAATGGAGAAGTGGCGTTTGTCTGACAGGCTTCATTGTTTTGTGTGTGACTTTGTCCTACTCAGGCAGAGAGACAGCTGGTGGCCAATTTTTCTGAGGGGCGGATCATCATGTTAGAGTAAATTAAAATCCTCAAATTTGCTGGTGTTGGAGCTATTGGGGCAACAAATGGTGGCATTTTGGAAGCTATGCAAAGTATTCAGATATACAGAGAGGTAAATAACTTCTTGTGGCACGTTTCATCTGAGTATTTTAAGGAGAAAAGGGACAAAACAAATAAGCTGCTTTGCCTGAATTTGAACACCAGCATCTAGGAAATATATAAAGAGCAAGAAAACCAATGGTGAAAAAATTATCACACTGAAAATGATATATGTAGAAAACCCAAGATTGTAATTAGTGGAGGAAAGTAAGAAACTGATTAGAGAAATCCAGATGCTTAAGGAAAAAATGGAAGTTAAATTAGATATGCTCTTTTAACTAGTACTGGAGAAGAATGCTTGCTTCAGAATGAGAAAGCTAAACTTAAAATTAGAAAAGAGCTGGCAACTTGAGTTTAGCTCAACTGTTTTCCTGCACGAGTGACTCTTTGGAATGCTCTGTTTGGATCATCATCAGGAACAACTAGTGTAGTGCTGTTGAGGGGAAAAATCCCCAAAATAAAACTCGCTGTATGCTTATTTGGAATGATTAAGGTGATTGTATTACTTATGTGTGTACTAACCCACAAATGAGACAAATTGGTTGGATTTTGAAGTAGTATTTCTGAATTTATTGTATTTTGTATGTATATGTAGTTGTCATCTGAGCTCTAGCACTGTATTTGTTCAACTGGCAGACTTTAATAACTATTTTAAAATTTATTGTATTAGTTTATTAGCAGAATCCTAAATCATCAAATACTACCTGAAACTGAAGAGAAATAGTCTTGAACTCCCTCAACCATAAGCCAGTGTAAATTAGCTGTTATTTAATTATTATAATTTAAATCAACTCAGATAAAAGTAATATTCTTAAATAAAAAATGGAAACAAAAGATATCAAGCAGAAACTGTCTTTTTGTGCCCATTCCAGTGGCACATTTCAAATTTAACAATATCATAGTGTAACCTGTGAAAAAAGTCCCTCTGCAAGTCAGTTCGGCATGACTCTGCAGCTGACATGGTCCTTGCTTTTTTACCACTTGTATCTTCTCAGTTGTTTATTAAAAAAAAGAAAAAAAAAAAAGGTTTTATGTGTCTGGAATTGATTGATAAGAACATCGTCTGGTTTGGTGCAACTTGTTTGACTGAGCAGAGTTTTCATGTGAAGTAAAACTGTTGCATTTTCTTCAACGCAGACTGTGTAGCTTCCAGACTGTTTAAAGGCTTAAGGCTGAGAAGTGATGAATTTCCAGAGGTCTCTGACTAACTAGACATACATCTGGAAACACAGCTGCAATTAGTGGAGGCTGCGGAAGCAGTCAGCCTGCAGCAGTCAAGCCATTCTTGTCACTACATGGTTGGGACAGTAAGATGAGATGATGGGTAGGGTGGAGCATAAATATCTACATGTTGCTTGATTCTCTACTTTATAAAAACCTGGTGGTAGCCAGCAAGACTCTTGTCTACAGAACCAGATGGCCAAAGCAAAGGTTGGGCCAGGTTATTTTTGTTCCTTGGCCCACACCTTGTCTGTGATGACAGTACTAGAGAGAGAATGTGTTTCAATCCATTAGGAGCTCAGTGAGGCTATATGGACAACACTGAAGTATTTCATAAGATTCAGTGTAAAGCTGCATAGTTCAAGGAAGCTCATGTCTTATTAGCTATGGCTAAGGTCAGTTATCCACACAATGAGGGGGAAACTCTTTCATAAACAAGTAGATAAATATGGTGCAGCTGGTGCTTAGCCGTGCTTCAGGCTGTTATATTACCGAAAGAGCTCATGAACAACTCTGGCTTTTACAGAGTCCTTATGGAGCATCAGCAGCTTAGAGCGGTCGGATGTAAAATTACGAGGTTGTGTAATGAAAAAAGGATAAATCCCAGGTGAACTTGTGACTTTGCATATAGGCGTCTATCTCGACACGATATTAGAGAGAATATAGAAACATTAGAACTCTCCTTCTAGAAGAAAATAAACTGTAAAATGTTAGAACTGAAAAAAATTTTAAAGCTACCTAGTCTAAACACCTGAATAAAACAAGCCTAGTGTCTTGTGGATTTTAGTTTCAGCGCAAGCTTATAAGTGTCCCACATTTTTCAAAAGTGCCAATTAGGTATATAGGTGTTTATTGGCATTTGATCCATGTCTGATAACATAGAGAGAAATCTTGTAGGACTTCATTTTGCCTTTGGGACTAGCACTTCTACTGTCTTAAGGAAAATAATTGTATTTTAAACAGCTGCAAAGAGAGAAGAGCTTGAAGAGTTAATTGAATCATGCTGCTAGGGGAAAACATTTTTTTCCTTTCCTTTTTTTTTTTTTTTTCTCATCAGAAGTAGGAGTTACATGTGTTCCTTATTACATCCAACATATTCCAATAGTTTTTAAAAAAAGGCATACTCATGAAGCAGTGTATTTCTCGAAGACACATTACTTTATTTTCAGCTACTAAATCCTGGAGCAATCAAACATGTGTCATTTTTCACCATCTGAATACAGTTCTGTGGTAGTAGTGGATGACAGTACATAACATCCATAGAACTGTAAAATGTAATCCCCTGACTGTCTTTACTACACAGGCTTTGGTTGTATTTTTATAGCTGCTAGAGGAGAATCTGTTGGTATTTCTTCTAAAGATAGTACAAATCAGTATTTGTGCAGTTATTAATTATCCTGGAGCCTTTAGACCAAATGTTTTAATTGTAGTAAAAAACCACACAAAAACAAACAAACAAACAAAACCCACAGCAAATTTGCTCTAACTGTATTCACCCAAGTTTGTGAGAGTCAGAGGACAGTAGATTGACTGTTGTCCCACAAATGGCTCTGTTTTACTAACCAGACTGATGAGGCTGTGATGTGCAGGTGTTCAGTGTAGGAGGCAAACAGTAGTGCTCAGAACAGAGCGGAGATTTGTCAGGGCGCTTCTGCTTAAATAGGTCAAACCAAGCAAATTCCATTGCGCTGGGAGAAGGCCAAAGCTGGGCACTTCAGCAGCAGCTCTAAGACACAGATGCCACTACTACTCACTGACATCCTTTTGGTCTTTCTACCTCTGGACAGGGATGGATAACGTAAACAATATATAACAGTTTGTCTGCTATCTAGTAGTTTATGTGCATGTGCAAGTTTCCTGTCATTTTACAGTGGGAGAATCATCTATTTAAACCTTACTGAGAATTGCAGCAGGCAAATCCTGACTATGTTCATTTTTTTCCAAAACAGAGTTTTCATCATGACCATACTTGTTTAATTCCAGTTTAAAGACATTTGTTCTACTTCCCTATTAATTTGGATTTTTTTTTTTTTTAAAAAAGCTGTATGTATAAGCATACATCCCAATTTTTGCATGAAAAATGTGAGCTAATTCACAAATGTCTTTGTTCTTGTTTTACCAGAGCAAGCTTTTAGCATTTATTGAGGTAATACATATGGTTTACTAGCGTTTGTGCTGAACCTTCTTGTTTGTGATTTTTCAATAGACTGCTTTTTCTTTGAAAGAAATATTTTTAGTATGTTGTTGATTATTCTTTCTTCTCACTGCTTTTCCCATCAGTTGTAGTCCGTTTAATGCTATCATCACATTACAGAGCACAGTTTTGAGGGAAAA